CCATCCAGTTGTCAAAAGAAAAACCCAGCTGCTCTGAGGGAAATCCAAGAGATTTCAGGGGACTGAATGCAAAGGCAGAACTGGATCCAGGTCTCACAAAACCACTCTGTACAGTCACAGGAYTTTCAAGCACTGTCTTACACAAGCAACCACTCCTAAGATTGAAATTTGTCAATGGAAATTGTTCTTGTGTTTATAACTGAAAAGCAAAACAGTTCTACCTCTGTTAGCTTCCCTTTTGGGGAAAAAAAAAAGCATTTGATGCTTAAGCTACATTTTATTGCCTTATTCTTCCTCTGCAAAATAAAAACACAAGAAGGAAAATTAGAGGACACTTAAGAGACTTCATTTGTCTAATGTTACCAAATCGGTGTACCCAGCTACCAAGGGCACCTGGTATGAATTCGATAATAGAGATGGGGTGGAATGAAGAAATACTATAAATTCTGGGTGGGGGTGCCATAAAGGCTTTAAGAAAGATGCCATGTGAACTGAGCCTCAACAGAGACAGAGCTTCCAGCAGTTTGGGTAGAGTGATTCAAGTTCAGAAAACAGGGTACACTTAAGGATGGTAAGGGTGGCAGGAAGATACTGTGTATAGCAGGGATTTAGTTATTTTCATGTCTCTCTTTTGAAATCTAAGATCACAGAGGACAGGGGCTAGGTTTTGCAGGTCCAAAAACAAATCCTTTCATAACTTCCTACAAGCTGCCTGCTTCACGCATCAGGTCTCAGGAAATTTAAAATCGGGACAAGGAATTTGGGAATTAGCCTGAGATGGTGGTCAGGTCTTTGGAATTTTAGGGAAGGAATTATTGCATTCCCATTTTAGGAAAATTCACCTGGTACAGTAGAGAGGAGGAATTGGAGTAGTACAAGAGTTGATGGGAGTTAACATTTAAGTTGGTTTCAGGGATCCAAGATCATTGTAATAACTTCTGTCTCCAGAACTTTTTAAGCAAAAAATGGATTAGATGCTCTCCATCTCAAAATCCTTTATGGCTTTTATAAATGAAGTCCAAAGTACCAAAACCAGCATTGAAGGTTCTTTATAATTTGAATCCATTCTACCTTTCTTGCTACCTTCCTTTGCATTCTCTGGCTTTAATCAATAAGGACTTCTCAAATATGTCACCTGTGAGTGTCAGTTTGTGCTTTTTAAGACTCCACACTCACATGGGTGTTTTCTAGGATTCCTACTATGGTGCTATTTCATTCTTCCCTGAAGCACAGTGAAGTTCTTTGAAGGCTAGGGTGTTGCCTTATTATGCACACCCTTCTACACGGTTAGCCTCAAATGATAGGCACTTGGCAAATATTCACTGAGCAGAATTGAACTGTAATAGCAATATTTGTACTGGGACTATTTCATACTTTTGAGCTCCAGAAACCATAAAAGACTATCAATTAAACTACATTAAAACATAGAATACTGTCTCAAAATTTTTAAAAAGCCACAAACAAAAAAAGGAACTGGGGAAACTATACAGAATACATATGACAAAGAGGAATTTCCTTAATACACAAAAAATTTCCCAAATCATTTATACCAACAATCTAAAAACAAATGGGCAAAGGAAATGAATACACCAGTTCCATTTTTCACTCATCAGACTGACAAGAGGAAAGAGTTTTAAAATACCAGTGGAACTGAGGGTGTCAGGAAAGAAACTCACAGGCTTTATTTATGAGAGTACTTCTCTTTGGAGGTAAATGTCAATATCTACAGAATTCAAAATGCAGAAAACTTTAATCTAGGAATTCCACTCTTAAGAGAATTATTTTACAGATAAAAATATACAGGGCAGAGACCCTGATAAAAAGCTGATTGTTGTAATCTTGTTCATAATAGCATACCCATTAGTAGGAGATTGGTTCARTAATGGTATTCTGTATAATGGAAACTTCAATCATTGACAGTAATGAAATAAATCTATAATCACTAATAGAAAAAATATCCCAAACTGCATCATCAAGAGAAAAAAAGTAATTTATATATATCAAGTACTATTATGTTCCTTGTTGCAAAGCAAATGCATACAGATATGCTTGTATATGCACGGAAAGTCTTGAAAACTCTTGATATTGACTGCTGCTGGGGCAGATTCATTATGCATTACCTACCCTTTTGCATTGTTTGAACTGATACATTTTTAAATTTTCAAATCCCCCATTTCCCAAACACAGACACATTTGTTGGCCATTCATTATACATTAGATGCAGACCAAGGTATAACCATGAATGATGCTGTTTATTTTTCCCAAGAAGGCACAGATGAGTGATTCTCAAAAGGGTTGCTTTTACATACTACAGATGCAGATCCCCAGATATTGAGAATTTGTAATGAGATGCTTTCTAAAACAGTGAACATGAACGCAGTAAACAACTTCTAGTTTTTTGACATATAAAAATTTCTCACAGCATTCTGACACTAATTAATCAAGCTTCACTTTCCTAAAAGCAAAATTTGAAGAAAAACAAGAGTGACAAATTTAACAGTGGTGGTAAAAGAAACCATTTAGATATTGCCTCTCAAAGGTGATGCAATGAGATCTTGCACAATCAGGTTATAAGAAGAGCACACTGAAGTTACCAGCGTTGTGTAGAGAAGCAAGCTAAGAACCAGGGAATTACTGAAGAGAGATTTGAATTAAACAGTTTTTCCTGGGTGGAGCCATTACATATTAAATATATGTTAAGAATTTGCCAATCAAAAATTCCAAAATTAGTTTGTCATCAAGATACTTCATAGAAAACATTCACAGAAACCAACCATCAAAGAGCTATGCCATTATCACAAAGCTACAAGAGAGTGGGGTGCTGGCATAAAGGTAGAAATACATAGATCAATAGAATAGAAAGTTCAGGAAAAAAATCTCTCAAATGTATAATCAATTGATTCGCACCAGGCATGGTGGCACACACCTGTAAACCCAGCAGCTCAGGAGGTTAAGGCAGGAGGATCATGAGTTCAAAGCCAGCTTCAGCAACTTAGTGAGGCTCTAAGCAACTCAGTGAAAGCCTGTCTCAAAATATAAAAAAAGAGCTGGGGAAGTGGCTCAGGGGTTGAAGCACCCCTGGGTTCAATCCCAGTATAAGGGAAAAAAATCAATTGATTTGCAACAAAGGTGCTAAGACAATTTAATTTAACAGTCTTTTTAATGGATAGTATTGGAACAACTGCATAGACACAGAGAATAAATAAAGCTGAACTCCAACTTCAGACCATATGCAAAAATCAACTCAAAATAGATCAAAGACCTAAACGTGAAAGCTAAAACCATAAAACTGTTTGAAGAAAACAGGTATAAATCTTTATGACCTTGGATTAGCCAATGCTTTCTTAGCTATTACACCAAAAGCAACAAAAGAAAAAATTGGAATTTTATCGTGAAGAGGGCAATAAATACTCTGCTGATTTAAAAGGTTAATGTTGTACAGCTTCACATTCACCAAAATTAAACTTTTGTACTTCAAAGGTCACCATAAAGTGAAAATACAAACCACAAAATAGGAGAAAAATTCTGTAAACTGTATGTCTGATTTTTTTTTGTGTGTATCTAGTATATGTAAAGAACTCTTACCATTTAATAAATAAATTGACCCAATTAAAAATGGGCAAATGTTGAGTACGGTGGTACATGTCTATAATCTCAGCAGTTGGGGAAGCTGAGGTAGGAGGATGGTGAGTTCAAAGCCAGCCTTAGCAAAAGCAAGGTGCTAAGCAACTCAGTGAGACCTTGTCTCTAAATAAAATACAAAATAGGGCTGGAGATGTGGCTCCGTGGTTGAGTACCCCTAAGTTCAATCACTAGTACCCCTCCCCAGTCCAAAATGGGCAAAGGATCTGAAGGGAAATTCTCCAAAGATACACAAATAGCCAATACGCACATTAAAAGATGCTCAACAAACATTACTAGCTATCAGAGACATGCAAAGCAAAATCACAAGGAAACAACAGTTTAGCCCTAGGAGGTCTGTCATCAAAGTCAGATTAACAAGTGTTGATGAGGCTGTTGAGAAACTGGAACTCTCACACACTGCTGGTGGACTGTAAAAAACAGTGCAACCACTTTGGAAAACAGTTTATCAGGTCCTAGAAAAAATAAAAAGGTTTAATGGTTACCACATGGCCCAACAATTCAACTTACAGGTATATATTCAGGAAGAAATGAATGTTCACACAAGAAGACACTGGTGGTTAAGGTGGGCACTCATGTCTATATTTGAAATGCTTATTAATAAGGAAAAAGTGGTTAAAACAAATAAATGGAAATTTTAAAAGCTATATCAGGACAAACAGCTACATAATGAATATTGATAACTAGTATGTACATTTAAAGAGGTGACATTAAAATTCCAAACTCTGAAACAAGCCTGTACTGAAATGCTTCTCACACAAATAGGACAAAATTCCCTTCAGGTCCTATTTTAACCAATTATTTCTACAACATTACAAAAATTGAAAGAATTTTTGAAACAATCCATTTTTTATTCAAATAGAATCACATTTAACAATCAAGGTCATATAATTTAAAAACTTCTGAACTGTTTTGGACTCAGATGGATAGTTGATTGTCGGCAGTCATTAAAACAATGCTCTTGATCCAGGATCAGATGAGGAGAAGGGACACGGTAATTTATTTTCACTGGTTGTCCACATTAAATTTTATTAAATAATGTCTCTTTACAAAACTATTCTGTAAATGAAACAAACTAGATTTTTAAAGGCAGCAAGTATATATGCTATTCAATGCACCAAACTGAAAACTCACTCTTTTTATATCACAAAATGAAGTTGAGCTCACTAGATAAGCCCCCACATCCTTCCTTGTCTACCTCACTCTGTAAACAGAAATCCTTCCAGGGGAACCCATTTCTTTTTGTCTTTCTGTAGTTAAAAAACTGATAATATAGTTTCATAAGGTTACCCAGAATTTATGGACTGTTGCCTAGGATCCTAAGCCTTTCCTTAAAGAAAGAAAAGAAAGAACACCAGTTCTTTTTCATGCCATTTATTTAGAACAGTTTTCCTACACCCATTTCCCCCCTAGTGAATGTACTAACCTTATTTAAACAAAGATGAGTGAAGGAAGGAAGAAAAGAGATTTTAGGGGTAAGCCTGAGGTTTGAGAACCACCACACACCTACCCCAACCCACCTTTCCACTCATCCCCCTCACCTTTACACATTTCAAACTCTAAGTGAAACAGAAGCTTTCCTTCTACCATGTTGTTCTTCCTATCATTTCTTTTCTTTGGAAATACTACCTAACTCCCAGCCCCATTAAGTGTTTGCTTGTTCACATCTAAACTTTCATGTGAAACCCAGCAGAGAAGCTCAACTCCAATAATCTTCCCTAACCCTCCTTATTTCCTGGAAGTGCAGCGCAGCAGTGACATATTATCATGGCACTGAGAACAAACACAGAGGACACAAAACTAACTGAATTCTGTCTCTCCTTGTAAATCTTCAGATCTGTCTGGGTAAGGCCAGTCAAGTTTTAAAAGATTATAGTAATTGTACATTTTTWAAAAATTATCTGCTTCTAGTTCACATAAATAATTTTAGGGTAAACATTCAATAAGGCATTTTCCCCATTGCTCCCATGATTTCATCTCTTTCTGCTGCTGTGGGCATAGATGGTGTCACTCCATTCTGTCTTCTTTGGATCATGATGGAATTCTGTGAATAGGCAAAAAAGAAGAAACCAAAATCAATCGTGTATGAAATGCTAATCATTTGCCAGTAATTTTCTATTGCTTTCTCAAAAACTCTGAAAGTCAAGCTAAATAAATCCAAACTGTAGTTGTAGGACTCCTGATGTTTCAAACAAAAATAAATAAATAAATAAAATTGCTTATTCTCATAGAAATATGCTAATAGTAACTGAAATGGGGACACATTGTGTGAGTACAAGAGCATAAGAGTGTATAGAGTTCACCAGGAAGACTACTGTATAACTGCTAGACAAAACCAACAGTTCATTTAGCAAATAAAAGGAGGAAGATGGATCCAGTGCTCAGGGAAACAAATTACATATTAATGCATTGGGAAAATGGAACCTTAACTACCAAGAATGGTAGTGGCAAAGGAGGCAGAAATGGAAGCCTAATATGACATGAGAGTAAAGTAAGTTATATGTTCTGCTCATCTTCAGAAACACTAAATTTACAACAAGGTTATTATGTTAGGGCTGCAGATTTACATACCTACGAAGATTCACATATTAAATCTGCATTCAGATATCTCAGAATAGGATGAAATAATTAATAAGAGTTCTCTAGGATCCTTCAGGACTGAAATACATACAGAGGATAGAAGAAAAGTTGTTTCCCTATGGCCATCACCGGGAAAAGACTATGGGCCTCAGTTTCATGCTGAAATGATGGGTTTTAAAACAAAGCTCACCAAGCTAGGCTTACCCAAAATCTCCGGCAGTTTTTGTACTTCAAGAAGTAACTGGAACATCTTTCCTTATCATAGTTATTTTCATTCATACATCTGCTAGAAGCATCAGATTCCTTAAATATGTAAGAAACACATTATTTAAAAGGTAGAATGAGATATTAAAAAGGCCTGAAAACAAAAACTTTAAAGCTATTTTGTCCCAAGACAGATAAAGTAAAATGGATCATTTTATTCAATGGGTACACGAAAACAGAATAATCTTGCCAACTATCCAAGAATTTATTCTGCTGGAGCAGATATCTTCCTTTTCATAGTCTGGGCCAGTTTTCTGAATATCTGATCACAGGAGTCTGAGCCAAAGTACTAACTGGGATCATGTGATCCAGAAACTGTAGCAAGGAACAATATCCACCAAACCACTGCTGCACAGTTAGAATGAGAAACAAGTCTCTTGACTCAGTACAGCTCTCCTAGATTTTCCAAATTCTTACTCTGATTTGACATTTGACTTTAATGCTGATTTTGAGATTTCAAATAAATTGCTAATAAGTGGTCTACATCAAGGCAACCTAAATTAACACCATTCATCTCAGTACATTTTTGGCTATCATTTACTCTATTACGCAAGTAAAATATGTAAGAAATTTTAATAGTTATTATTAATATCACTTCAAAACCAAAGTGAACACAGGGATATGAATTTAAAAGAGGGTAGGTATCTTTTGGGAATTATTAAGCTGTCTTAACTGGAAGGAGGTTGGATGACAAACTTCAAAGTGAAAGAGATGATTATGAGAAGTTACCTAAAAGTACGATTTAATTAAACAGGTATGCTATTTGCTTCACAGACCTAAGAAATGTGTTCTATTTAAATAGATTTACTTAATAAATCTAATATACAGAAGAAAGCTATATTTCTATGCCAAATATTTAATGCATATTTTTGAAAAACACATATAGGGTCAGGCAATGTAATTCCTCATAGCATCAATGTAATCACAGCATTGTACAAGGATGACAAAATTACAAGAGAGTATAAATCATACCAAATTAATGCAAATACAAGCTTATTATTACAATAAAACATCCTCTGTATAAGACAACTTTGTGAAAACCTTTAGGCTTAAATAGGTTATCTATTATCAGCCAATTACTCTCAGCCAGGTTGTCTCAAGGACATGATAAAACCAGTGCTATTAAAACCACAAATTTCAGTGGCAACTTAAAAATGTGATGCCTTCCAGTTTTCCATGTTTGGACTAAAGACTTTTTTAGTCTTACAAACGCCTCTCTAGTTTTATAGTGCCAACTAAAGGCTTGCATATTTTACAAAGAAGCAAAATTAAAGAAGAATCTTTATTAGCTAAATCATGAACATCTAAAAACACTCTAGAGAAATAAGAAACACTAGTCAGGAGTACGTTATGTACAAAAATATCTTTATTCAACAACTGCAGAAAAGAAAAGCCCACAATTAGAAGAAGCCTGTTTTGTTTTTGTTTTTTCTTCAACTTAACACTCAGGAAAATGAAAAGCAAACCACCCTACCAACAAACAAGGATTTATGTCAGGATCTCTCAGTCGGTGCGTCACCACGGGCATCCTAGGTCTTCTTACTGAAGGTTGATAGACAAAAAATTGTTAGGCAGTGGATGACAGAAAATAAGTCAATAAGTCTTACTGACCCCACAAATACTGAAAATTTAATTCTGGCACAATGATCATTTAGAATTTCATGGATCCTCTGCATTTGGGATATGTTTCTCCTTTGTACTGCCATGTGCCTTAATATAAAAGCCATACTGAAATACATATACTGAAATTTGATTCTAATGCCCAGTGAGAAAGATAGTTCAACTATATTCAATTGTGGTTTACTCTTATTCCTTAAGTGTAAGCAACTAAATATACTAATAAAATCTAATAATACTTCCTTATTATACACTAATTAGCATATAAATTAAGGAAAGGATAATCCAGTACAGCCCACCTTAGCAAAAACTTTAGTCAACTAATAACCAGAATGACTACTCTGTGACCAACACTAGGACAGCAATATATCAAAAAGCCAAGTTATGGTTTAGTTGACATTTTGCAAAGCCATAGGGTTTTTTAAAAACATTTTTTTCAATTAACTCCATTTGGGAGGGTTCAACTGAAATTGGTATGGCAACTACCTTCAAAGAAATGTCATAGAAAAAAATTTAAAAAACAGTTAAGTAAATTATTTCAAAGTGATTTTTTGGTTTCAATGTATTGCTATACTATTGACAAACCACCCTCAATATTTTAAGATGCTGTGAACTAAGCCTAAGTAGCTGATTTGCCTTGTACTCCCAAATCTAGTTCTAGCTTAATCATCCTTCTTCCTAAGGGTCAAAGGGCAAGCCAGCAAATAATGTCTTGTGACCCACAAAACTCCACTAAGTAAAAAAATGAATTTGTCAGTAAAACCACAGAGGTCAGAATTTTTATATGAAATGGTCTCAGGCCAGGGTTGAGGCTCAGTGGTAGAGCACTTGCAGAGCATGCATGAGGCACTGGGTTCGGTCCTGCATCACATAAAAATAAACAAAATAAAGGTATTGTGTCCATCTACAACTAAAAATAAATAAAATTTAAAAAAAAAGAAATGGTCTCAACTTTCTGTGCCAAAGACGGGATCACAAAAAAATATCAATAGTGTTAAAATAAATATATTCAGAAAAAAACAATCATATCAGACAAGCTCCTAAAATGTGCAGGTATTCTCCATAAAGTGTTACCCAGTACACCTGGGAGCAAATGCACCACCAGTAGATAAGGCCTACCCATCCCTGCCTCAGCCTGGACCCTGGGGCTCAGATAAAGACCCTGAATCCCCAAGTCAAAGTTATTGAATGTTTTTGTTTTGTTCTACTGTAGTTCTTTTTTTTTTCCCCCTTTTCTGATGGCTGATTTACAAAATAAAGTAAGCTTCTGAGAAGTCTCTGAACGTGGAAAGGAGAAGCAAAACCAATAGTCAGGGAGGTTGGAGGGGGGTCTTTGGCCAAAAACCTGGGTAGCTTGGTCTAGACAGTTTGGCATCTCCTGAATGAGAGTCTCAAGGTACCTCTTGTGTGGAAAGATCCCTGGACTCTACCCAGCCCCCACCTTCTCCTTCAGCCATGTTAAAAGCAGAGGCAGAGAATGTAAGAACTTGTAGCCTATGTCTCACCGGAAAAGAAAACTTGTCATCTGGCTTGATGGAGAAGGTTCCACCTCACACTCCTAGTACAATATCTATACATTGTGGCAGGATATCACATTTAGAAGGACCAAAAAAAAAAAAAAAAAAAAAGTAAAATACTTGAATGGGTTTGTATAATGTTAGTATTATTGAGAGTATCTGCTTTCCCAGCTGAAGCGATTCATTCATTATTCTAGTCCTGCTGTAGTCCTTTGTAACTTAGGATAATTATGCTTTTCAATACCAAAAAAAATGTATAAAAATATAAACTTGAAAAGGGAAAAATCAGATGTCCAGGTTGAAAGAGACCCAGTCATTGCAAAGAAGGGCAGGAAAGGGTCTGGTTATTCTGATTACTTTTTAGTAATCACTAAATAATTTTATTTTGTGATTTTCATTGACTAGTACATGAAAATAGCCAGTGAACTAAAACATCTTGGCAAAAAAGGAAATTCAAGATGCCATTCAATTATATCTGAAGACTTTTGCTCTCTGGGACACAATTCTTTTGCAGGCTTGACTTCTCCTAAGAAAAATAATGGTGCTAAATAAATTCACAACTTTCCTTTTCACATCTATCCTGTTATGTGAGAACACAGAACTCTAAGCTGTTCATAAATAACCCTTGTATATAATAATCTCGGCAATGATCAGACACAGAATTAAAGTTGATTACTTTACATGAAAATATCTACTCTGTATTTCATCATCAGAAATTCTTTAAAAATAACAACTAGGTAATATCCACACCGGGATCACGTTTGCTGCATGAGTTTATTCGCATTTTTATTTGCGTTTCATTTTCTTTTCCTTCCGGATTATAAGCACAAGTCACTTTAAATTTCGAAATATCACCTCCTTTGCCTGATCTCCTATGTGTTAAACTGGAAATGAAGAGGAATGTCAATTTACAGCCAGAAGTAAAGCTGAAGGGCCAGATGGAGTGCTCAGCTAAAGAGGCCTTCCTTATCTACTTACTTTTTGAAGGTACAGCACTAAACAAATGTTACAAGACTCTAATACTAGCATGATAGCCAGAAAGAAACCCAAAGATTTGAAGGAGGGGTCACATCGGAGGCAGAACTCTAAAATCCACTCCAAGGAGCAAACTGTTTAACAAAGTAGTCCTTGATTTCTTACACAGTCCTTCACACCCCCCTCTTCAAGTAGCTTTTAAAGGGAAAGAGGAAGGGAAGGTTACTGGTGTTAACACGTGCATGCCCACTGGCTGGTCAGAGTCTAGGCAGGATCTGTGACTGCTAAATCGAGATGCAGAAACACCATAACCTTAACTACTGCTGGGTGCAGAGGGCCAGGGGCAGTAAGTCAAAGGTGCATACCGGAATAGGGCAGGCAAGCCCAAGGAAAAATTGAAAGGATGTGAATCCGAGGCCGCGCTGCCTTCCAAGGTGCTGCCTGTCAGCGTCTAATCGTGGAAACGGATATAGGTGAGCACACCTTTCTTGGTGCTCCGACGAAGAGGGGGTCCGGGACTGCGAAAACGCTGAGAAGTGGGAAGTGGGTGAGTGAGGGGGGCGTTCTAGTTTCGAAAGCTGGAGGGGGAGGATGAAGAAGACCTGGAGGTGCCGTGACAAGGTACGGGGTCACTTTCTTCGCCCCCGGTTATACAGACCCGGGTAGCGAGAAGACCAACAGGAAGCGGCCCGCGCTGCGTCAAGGCCTGGAGGGAGCAGCTGTGCGCAGCAAAAGTGGATTCGGACCCCGTGGCGGCCCAGATGCGCCCCTTTCTTTCCGCTTCCCAGTAGCGGCAGCAGAGGGAGGGGCGGGGGACCACTCACCTCGGGCCGCCGCTTCGCCAGCGCCCAGGCCGTCTCCAGCTCCAAACACGTCAATGGCTCACGCAGCAGGACCTTAAGTAGCGCGCACCCCAACGTGCTGCCCCCGCTCCCCGGCGGTCGCCAGCCCAATCGGCGCGCGTCCCTGTCAGACTGACAGGCTGGCTAAGCTTTGCGCGGCGGGGGCGGGCGGGCCTCGCCCCGCCCTCGGCTGGCGGGAGGAGGGCCGAGGAGGGAGGAGTGGGCGGGGCGGGGCGCGCAGTCCCGCCTCCTCCCCCGCCCCGCCGCGCCCCCCGCGCCGAGGCTAGCTTCTTAACACTTCGGCTTGACGGACGGGTGCCACGGGCCAATCGTCAGGCCAGCAGACGGCGCCGGAGGCGCCGAGTGGTCGGCCTCAGGGCGGAGCGCGCGAGGTGGGCGGGCGCAGCTGCGGGTGGGGGCCGGGGGCGGGGCGGCGGGAGGCGGGGGCGGTGGCCGAGCAGGCCGGGGGAGGCGGCAGTGGGCGCGACGTCGGCGGCGGCGGCGGCGGCGGCAGCGGCAGCTGCAAGTTGGGCTGCAGGGGCAGCGCATACACTACAATGGCTGCTGGAAAGAGGCGTAAGGAAACAATTTCCAGGCCCGCCGCGTCCAGCCCGAAATATGAGAAAAAAATTATTAGAAATTCCGCGGGCGGTGTAAAGGCGGCGGACGGGCCGGAGGGAGGATGTTAAAGCCCCGCGGTGAGTTCTCCCGGGGTCCGGGGCGGCGGAGAGGCGTTTAGCGGGAGAAATATCAGGGTTATTTAAATTATGGGACTAGCTGAGGGGGCAGAGGAGCAGCGGCGGCGGCAGGAGGAGGAAAAGTTTGTGCTTCTCTCAGCCCCTGCTCAGGACCCCAGAGGGAAAAATAATAATAAAAAATAAAATAAAATAATTAAGCGGGGCTGCGAGGACTTCCGAAGTCGCATCTGACAGGGCAGGGGGCGATGCGACTGGGGACCCGAAGGTGAGGTCGGTGGGAAAAAAAAAAAACCTTTATTCAGGGTCTGGAAAGTTTGAAAAGTTTTCCTCCTCCTCCTCCTCCTCCTCTCTGGTGCTGTGAATATTGTGACAGCGGCAGCGGCAGCAGCGAGAGCGGAAGACATTAGAGACCCGAAAAATAAGGGAAAAATTAATATAAATTCAGTTTTGAGAGTAAAGTCTCCGCATTTTCCACCAAAACATCCCGGGGGAAGGTCGCTTCCCAAAGGGCCTGGCGGAAACCCGCAGTCGGCAATATTTGGGGGGCACTTTGAGTGACTTGGGGTAACTTTGCCCCTTTTTCAAAAGAGGTTTTTCTTTTCTGGAGAAATGAATTTGTTTTTGCCCTTTCCTCAGGTGGGCGAGTCGGGGTCGGGGTGCGGGGTCTGCGGGGAGGTGTGAGCCCGGGGTGTGTGGCTGCGAAGGGGGGGGGGGGGGGGGGGGGGTGTTAAATGAAAGCAGGAGATCGGCACAGAGCAGGGACAGCTTGTTGTCAGTATCATAAACAACCAAAATGGAGGGAGAACTCAGGCATATAACCAAATAAAAATTTTTAAAAAATCGCAAAAAATCCCTAAAAATCCGGGATGCTCCCCCTTTTCTCGCTAAAGGTAAAAGTATGAACCGCCTTTCTCCTGAAGTCCATTTTGACTTTGCAGGGACCAAGGAGTTAATATTTATTTATTTTTTAAAACTTTCGAAGGGCAAAAGCCTTTTATAACTCAACCGACAATGAGAAAACGTGAAAATCCGATGCAAGAGAAGCAGGGGGAAGGAGGGGGAGGTAGTAGTGCAGAAACTGCTAAACTTATTGGTAATGTGGACTGATCTGAGATAAGATAAACACTATATTTGGTATTTTATAACTCCTTTTTAATGATCTTTGTGAGGTTTGATTTTTTTTTTTTGGTGGAAAAAAAGTGATGCCATTTTCTTAATAGAGTTAATATGTGTGATTGGAAGAATAAACCTCTCCGGCTTTAGATTGCATTTTCGTCGCATTTATGCTTCAGGTTTTGTTAGTGGCTCCCTCCTTTATTTAAACTGGGCTTTCCAGAGGAGGGGTAGAGAGGTGATGTTGCACAGAGAGGCTGGAGTGCAGGACTGGAATACCTTTTGGGGAGGGGTAAGGAATTGCTTAGTTTCTCCCTTCCTGACACGTTTGCTTCACCTGTTCATCCTCACTAAGGAATGTTAAGCAGAAGTTTTCTGACTTTATCTATATAAAAGGATGGTGCCTCTTGCATCACATTGATGTTAATGGCAAAGTGCTGCTGATGTTGGTTCCACGTGGGATGTGGGACAGAGCTGGGCATTTTAAAGGGACAGCTTCTCTTTTCTTATGGTTTTCATCACCTACCCAGACTCTCTGAGGACCAAAACCAGAGGTGCTGGAAGGGTGTGGTGATGGAAGAGCCTTCTCTTTCCATTACTCAAATGCACCCACCTTTAGGAGGGATGGAGGGAGAGGAGGGATAAACAAGCTCAACAGTAGATGAATATGCATATAGCTTAGTTTGCATCCAAGCTGTTCTTTTGTGTAACAAGCCCTCCCAGGAACTTTTCATGTTACATTGCTTTGCTTTGGAAGCTGATTTTGGAAGGAATTGTGGAAAAATGGAAATAGTTTAAGGTGTGTGGTATAATGGTATAGCATTATTGAACAGTTATGAATTCTGTGCAGTGAGATCAAAGAGCTATGTATGCCCATAATGTGATTTACAGCCATTTTGTAAAAGCTGTAAAATACCTAATATTCAATTTGGCTTCAGGTACATGGAGGACTTCTGGTTAAAATTTACAGACAGAGTGGTGAAGATTCTTTAACATCATAAGCAGTAGGTATTTCTTTGGGGAAGGAAAGCATATACACCAAGATCATGGAAAAGTTTACTTATATAGTCAGTTTTAAAGCCCATCCTATATGTATGCTCTAACTTTGAAGCTTTGAAATGAAAATATTCTAAAATTCTGAGAACCATCAGTTTGCATCTTGTATATTGAATATATTTGTGGTACTTAACAGGAAATGTTTATCAATCATAAAATACTATCAGCCCGTATGTTTCAGATGTCCACAGTGTTTTCAAAATTTAAAATGTGTGAGTTGTTAGCTGTACTCTATTTGGGATTAAGATTAATCTTGAACAGAAGTTACTGGTGTTCATTTTCCACAGGTATATGGAGTTTCTGAGATAAATTCCTATTTTCCTTTGTTTTTATGATTTATAGAAATGGACTAAAGTTAAAGCTGAATTTTTAGACTTTTTACACAGAATGTTTTTCCTTGCCATACTATATAAACAAATTATTGTTTCATAGTCTATTGTATGTTAACTTGTGTTCCTAGCTGAGCTCTGGGCATCTTTCTGTAAATACCTCCATAGCAACATTACATTGGTGTGGTAGTGTTTGAGTCCATCATCTTGAGACTTCTCATTTTGGAAATGATTAAAACTTTCTAAGAACTTGTCTTAAAAATTAATGCCATGAAYCACTGCTAATAAAAATTGATTGGAAAGGAATTGATCTACTAATGGAGAACCCCCCTCCCAACAATCTTTTGTGTAGAGGTTTTAGAATGCCACCAATAATTATAAAACCTTTGAGGTTTATCTTGCATTTTCATTGTTTTGGCTCAAGACAGTTACATTTACTGTAAGTGGTCAGAATTTTTCTTCCTATTAAAAATAAATGATACTTTTAAATTTGAATAGTTGCCACTTTGACAAGCCAGATACTAATATCAATAAATTCAATCTCTATAAAAGTGAAGGGAAAGCATTTCTTCCAGTTATATTAAATCATTGAGCTGTTTAGATTGTTCACTCTTCAAGTTATGGTTAGGTTATTGTCAATCTAAATAAAAGTGCTGGTGTTGTGGGACTTTTTTTTTTTTACTTTTTTTTTTCCTTTACTATGACATTCTTGTTTGGGTTTTACACAACTAGTTACTTGCCTGTATGAGAAAGTGCACTCAGAGTGCACAAATATGAAATCTATAATTCCTTAGAGAGTTATTTAGATAGGTCAGAGCATAATACCGAATTTGAATTGGTTGTGTTAAGGTTTTTTTGATGCCTTTAGAAATATTACCTGTTGAACATCCTTTGTCTGAAGCTACTATAAAATTATACCAGTTTAAAGAAATAATCTAAGGATATTATATACCCCAAATGCTCTTTTATTTGGAGAAACCTCACAGATTAATACTTTTATTTGAAATTTATATACCTAATTTTGTTATTCTAAATTCTAAAGAATTTAGCTGCTCTGGAAGATGATTTTATAAGTATGGACTAATACTGACAAAATATTATACATTTATTATAACCAAAGTATTTTAATAAACAGGCATTTTAAAGCTAAATAAATTAGTGAATTTTCTTTTATCAATATAGTTTTAAAATATTAAGGATATTCTTTGTGTTTTAATATCAATCAAATATGAGGAATTTCCCTTCATTTTTAAAATAATCCTTGTTGTCACTGAATATATTTTGGTTTGGTATTCTGGAAATGTATCTTTCTTAGGATTAAGTTATTGTTTTCTAAATTAAATGTAATGTTCTTATCTTAACTGAGATTTGAAAARCCAGACAACTAAAACATACCTATAGCAATCTTTGAAGTTTTGTTTTAGTAATCATTTGAATTTTGAGCTATATAATGAAAGATAGTCATACTCTAGGAATGTTTTTAATATTTTTTGTTTAGAATCTTATTCTTTGAAAAATCAAGATATGTGAAAAACTACCTGTTACACATGCATACAAACACACATACATACACACAAATATCAAGATAAGTTTTACCTGAATAATTTTACTTACATTGCTTGGAATACATGTTCTTTTTTATATGTTTGCAAATGTATAAGAAATAAGTGTAATTTTTTAAATTTTGATAACATCTTAGATTCTTTAGTTAGGTGAAGGAAGAGTTTCAGAAAAGGGAGAAAACTGAATCTGTACAACAAAATCTAAGATAGTGA